ATTATTATTAGAGAGCATACATTATTGTATGTTGGTAATGATCAATCCCACATAGTATTGGAAACACTATTGGGAATAGTATTTAAGGCTTGGCTTTCCCACTTCCTTGTTGAGTGATAGAGAACAATGGGGACTCTCGCGCACCGCCGCCGTCCCTGTCCGTCTCGGCTTGGCACGGCTCGCCCGTGGTCGTGGTCGTGGTCGTGGTAATACGTGTCTTCGACACGTCCGCGCGGATACTATCTTTTTAGAGAAAATTCTTGAGGAATTTTTCTTTGAAAAAACAAATGGAAAATGTGAAAGATTTCAACTGATATTATAGGTTGTTGAGGACTGTTTAATTTCAAATGATAACAGCTGGTTTATGAGAGTTATCAGATATTAAACAACTTTTCCTAAATTAAATCAAAAATATTAAGATGTATCTGGACTGATTTCCAGCTTTGTACAGAAGAGACAAGCTGTTAATATCATGAGTTACAAGAGTTATTTGATTTAATTCCATGGGTTACATGATATAATTTCGGGAGTTATAACAGCTGAACAATGATGCAATGAAACTGGACTATTTTTGAGTCAGGTTCATCTAGACGTTTCAGCTGTTACAAAAGAAGAGATTTAATCCTGAAATTTTATGGACGATTTTAACCCTATTTCTAGCTTATAAATAGAGGGCTATATTCAACTTCTCAACTCACTCTCAAACATTCACAATTCACTTACAAAAGTGTTTTCTACAATTCTCTCTGTGAGTTCTCTCTGAGCACTTTCCAATCAGAAGAGCAATACCACCAGCAGTCCACTCCGGTTTCAGGTGTACGGAATTCGGAGCGACCGTATTAACCTCGGGGGACGATCCGCCTAATGCAGCGATTACACACATCGGGGCGAATTCGTTTCTAAGGTAGTGGTTTTTACCACGACACGGTTTATGAATTTTTTCCTTTTAATTACTATTTATATTTCCAATCAATGCTAACGGTGAAGTTTTGCAGTTCATATATCCAACAATTTAGACTCTATTATTATTTAGTTGTAACTATGTTTTGTATTAAACTCTGTATTTTGTTATTTTAAATATTTGTAGCCATGTATTTGTAAACTAAATTATTACATTTTATTTATCTTGTATGAATTTTCTTTGACATGGTGTTTTACAATTGATTTAAAAGGAAAATTTTGGGTTAGCCATTTCGGTGGTTCCGTGTAACACCATAATCCATGGATCTTCGGGTTGGACTTGATTAGGGTGTTATAGAACCAAACAATCTTGTAGGCTGCTTTGCTACACAATTCTGATTACATCAGCAAACAACCTTTTTAAAAAGAGGGATCTGACTATATGTGATCACCGACAAACCAATGAAGAAATAAACATCATGATAGTTTTGTGTGTGTACCAAATGATTGCAAAGTATGCGAAAAACATATAAAAATTATAAGGATCGTGTCACAAAAGTAGAGAAAATGTGTGCCACAAGAGCATATAAAAACGTGTCACAAGAACATAGAACAATGTGTCACAAGAACAAAGATTCTTATTCAAAATTAAAAAGACTTGAGAAAAAAAAAGACACAATAAAAAAACAAAAGAACTAATAGTCCATGGCGGTCTGCAACAAACATTAAGATTGATGTCGCCATCGACTAAACAGAAATCAAAGTGAAAGAAGAAGACGACACAAAAGTATTAAAAGAAAATTAAGTTGAAGAAAGAGATGCGACTAAGGTTTTGTTCTAAGGTGCCTGAATAATAATCTTAATCGAATAACATTGACTACAATTTTATCAATTAAAATTCAAGGGGACAATGTTATGAGATAATAACAAATGGAATAAAATCATTGTATATTAGTTAGGGGTGAGCAAAACTCGACTCTCGAAAATTTGATTTTTTACTCGATTCGAAAAAAACTTGACTTGAAACGACTTCGAGTTGTAATTTCATAAACTTGACTCGATTCAAAAAAATGCAAGTTCAAATCGAGTTGTAAAATACAACTCGAATAACTCAAAATTTTTAGTAGTTAATGGATGAATTTTCAAGTTTAAGTTGAGTCTCTCAATTATGTATGATATATGTATATCATATATGAAAGAAATATATATGTATTGTACTTTTTAAATAAAAATATATACAAGAATGGATTGTTATATATTGTATTGTATATGATCATAAAAAATCATTTAAATTGTAATAAAATAATATCATCATATTATACATATTTAGAATTAAATTTAAACAAAAACTCAAAAATTTGACTCGACTCGAATTTTATAACTAGATTCGAAAAATTTCAAGTCAACTCCGAGTTATAAAATATGAATCGTCAACTCGAATAACTCAAAAAAAATTATTCGACTCGATCAAACTCTCACCCCTAATATTAGTACTATTTTGGATTAAACTAAAATATACAATTGAATTATTACATTCTCAAGAGAAAATGAATTATGTTATGGAAAATGTAAAGGTTTGTTTGGTTTTAGAAAACATTTTATGCTTTTGTTTATTGTTTTATTTTTAGAAAATAGTTTTTATTTTTAGTTTTTTAAAATTTAGAAAACATGTTTGATTAATATAAATGAAAATTTGAATTCAAAAATAAAAATAGTAAAATATATCTGATATCTAATTTTTTAAATATAGATTAACAAATAGTTATTAAATAATTAAATTAAAATATAATTATTAAAAATAATCATTACATAAATTTAATATATGAGTTATACAAATATAAAAAATAAAGTCAATAATAAATTTCATAACACAAAAATTGTTTTAGTTTATAATAAAAATATAATGTCAATTAAACATCAATTAAATTAAAAAAATACAAAAATATATTATGTATGCAAGAGCATAAAAATATCATTAAAATAAAAAAATATGTTTAGTGATATTTAAGGCCCTCAAAATTAAAAAAAATAATATAGTGTATGATTTTTTTAATTCAATGTGACTCTTAAACTAAGAAAAAATCAATCTAACCATTTGACAATGGAATCAAATGTTGATCCTCACAATGTTTACATGACAGTTCACGAAATTTACATGACAAACTAAATATTGGCGTGACAACTCACGATATTGTTGTGATAGTACACGATGAATAATGATGTAATAGATTGACTCAATTGATTTTTTGGTTAAGTTCAAAAACCTAATTGATTTTTTTGAAAAGTTTGAAGTCTTATTTGTTTTTAGAAAAATAAGAAATTATTTAAATTTAAAATTTAAAATATATAATTATTAAGATACTCAATATATTAAATATAAAAATATTAACAAATTCAGTTTAAGGACCATATCGAATATAAAAATGTTTTAGGGGTTATATTGAATTTTTTTAAAAAAAAAGTTTGACGGTATTAAGTAAAAAATTTATAGTTAGAAGGATTTCAACGCGTGTAGTTTAAGTTAAAAATCTAGATCTTATGCTTTTATATTTTTAATTTATAAAATAATTTTAGTGAAAATATTTTTATTTTTTATATATTCACTTATTTTTGTTTTTCAAAAATCATTTTTAAATTTTACAACTAAATATGTTTTCTACTGTATTTTTTATTTTTTTAAAAAATAAAAAATAACCTATATTTTTTAAAACCAAATTAATTTTAATATTTTTTAATAAAAAATATTATAAAGAAAATATTCAACCAATAAATATTAAAAAATTTAAATTACGTTTATCTAAAAATATTAGATTTTTTTAATAATATTTTTAATTACACCCCTTTCGTATTCTTCTTTAACCTTAATTAAGCTATAATACGTTAGTCATTTCCAAAAGCACTTTTACTTTAAAAATGTGATTTTTTTCAATGTTATTAAAATCGGATCGGATCGGTCGGTTCGACCGGTTGAACCGTGAATCGGTAGTCTGTCATGTCCGATTAACTCTCAAAACCGGATTAGCACAGAATCGATAAAGAACCGGAAGAACCAGCTGAAAACCGGGAAAACTGGGGTGAATCGGCTGAAAATTGGCAAAATCAGTTTGAACTGCCGATTCACTTTTTTTCTTTAAAAAAAATTAAACCAAACGACGTCGTTTGTTCAACGAGCTGAGTCAAATTCGAGTATTACTGAGCTCGACTCGAACTCAAAAACTTTAAAAGTAAGCTCAACTCGACTCAAAAACTCACGAGCTAAAAATTATCAACTCGAAATATAATATTAAAACTTGAAATCGAAAAGACTCGAATTCAAAAAAAAATTAAAAGTTCGATTGAAGCCTAAAATTTGAGCTCAATTGAAGCCTAAAATTTGAGCTTAATTGAAGCGAAAGAATAGTTCGCTTTGTGCTCACCAAAAGGCTCCATGATTTTGAATGTCAAATTATCTCTATTATTTATAGAAGTAAGTTGGGATGCTCTTCTATGTTTCTTAGCCATTTTGGGATTGTTTTGTTCTCATATTTTTATTCTTTAAACTTTTGGGATACTCTTCTATGTTTCTTAGTCATGTGAGATTGTTTTTTTAAAACAATTAAACCAAATAACATCATTTGTTATGATTTTTTTTAAGCCCCAATTTTATTTTTTTTTATTATAGTTATATAATTATATTTATTATTTAATATATTTTACCTTAAATATTATGTTGTAGTTGATTTGAATCATTTTGTTTCACTTGATTTTATGGTTTTTTATATATACATGTTATGACTTGTGATATTTTTATACCTTTTAATATTGTAAACTTAAAAAAATATTACATATATATTAATATTGCTTTGAATATTATGTAAAATTAAAAATATATATTATTTTATATAAAATCCGATTCAACCGCGGTTGAACCCGGTTGAACCAATGAATTAGTACCTTCACCGGTTCAATGTCTGGTCCGGTTTTAAAAACATTACCGAACATGATAGTTTTGGTTTTCTGGAAATCACGTTTGTGATTAATTGACATTTATGCCCTTGAAATTTATGAACCCAACAATAGTTGCTTACCCATTACGGTTTCCCTGCTGGAAAAAAAAGTGTTCTTTAAGATTTGATATCAGATGTTGAAGAACACAGTGAGAAGAAAATTTTAAATTTTTGGTGTTGCTCTTCCTTTTTAAGGTATTTTTGATCCATTCTCATATTTTTTCTTGATTTTATTATAAATGGGTTTCATGTTTTTTCTGTTTCAAATCCTTTTTTTTAACGATTGAGTAAGAACCCTTTTTTACGATTGACATATTCCTAAACTTACGTGCTTACTCACTTGTAATGGTTTATCCGAACTGGTTGATGATCTGTTTATACGTATAGGTACACTTAATAGATGTAGAAGGTGGGGAATACAATTTGCGCACAGATGTTAGTGATGTTTTAGACATGTAGAATGAAAAAAAAAATCTATAAATGTTGATGATTTCATTTTAGAAGAGTCACGTTTCTAGATCACTTGCTTTAGTTTTCCTCTTTTTATTTTCTATTTATCTGATTGAATTCTCAATCTGATAATGTTTTTAGAATTTCAAGTTCTGTCAAACCAAAATATTGAATTTTGAGGCAGCCATTGAAGTATTTATTTTAGATAAAAAATAGATTATGCAAGTATTAGATAAAATGAAGCAACATGCACATAAAATGAATTTCCTTTCCTAATTCTCAAAGTTGAGAATAATTTTTTTAGAAGTATGGTTAGTGAAAACAGCAGAAAAATTGTAGAAATGGGGCAAAAACATGAACTAAGCCTGAGTAGATTAGATGGTCTCCTTTTGAATTTCTAAAGGAGGGCATGCATTACACTGCACTTGCATTGATCCAGCAGTAATTCTCTCTTATTGTAAGTTAATTGAATTTGCAGCACATAAACCCACTCCTTCGTATTGCTGCACGGAGGTGCATATGCACTTATCTATTTGCGAACGAAGATACAATTGTGCATGTTTTTATCTGCATATAAAACTAATTAGTGATTCAAATGTTTTGAATTTTGAAATTGTTGGTTTAGATCATAAAGTTCTTTGTGCCACAATAAATACAAAGCATTGAGTATTTTGCTATTGAGTGCTTAAAATCTTTGATAAAGCTTGATAGTATGAAAGTATTTAGATTTTTACTATGATTTTTAAGTTGAGATTATAATGTCATTTCTTGTTCAATTTGAATTAGATTATACTATAATTAGTTCAGACCATGTAGTTTGAGACAGAAATGTTTTGAATTGTTGCTTTCTTGAGGTTTAAATTTCTGTTTTTATTTGTCTAATTATAAAATAAACAATGATTACAAACTGCATTAATTTTTTTGAGATTATGTGGATTTTTATGTGTGTGATAGATGAAAGATACTTCACATGTTGATGCAAGTGGTGAAAAGGTCAAAGCAACATGGGATAAAATGAAGACAATAATATTTTGTGATCTTTGCATTAAGGAGATATTAAATGGTAATAGACCCGGTACTCATTTTAGCAAAAAAGGATGGATAAAAATAGTGAACAATTTTGAAAAAGAGACAGGGAAGGCATATACACGAACACAATTAAAGAATAAGTGGGATTTATTGAAAAAAGAATGGAAGTTATGGAAAAAGCTTAAAGAAAAAGATCCTGCACTGCGGTGGAATCATATAAAAGGAACCGTGGATGCCTCAGAAGAGTGGTGGGAGAGTAGGCTCAAGGTACATTAATAACTCTTAAATTTTTTGTTTCCTTTATTTATAATGTTATTGATAATTGCTTACTAAAACTATTGATTTATATGTAGATGGTGCCCGAAGCTCTAAGATTCAGAACTGCAGGCATTGATCCTGAATTAGAAGGGAAGTTGGACCACATGTTCAGAGGGATAGTAGCCAGTGGTTATCAAGCATGTGCACCTTCTTTGGATATATTGCCTAGCGATTTTGTTGAGCATGGTGATAATGATACACTTGAAGAAATTCAGGAAGAAAATACATTGGATGATGTTCACATATTAAATCAAGTTGGATACGGTGAAAATAGTGAAAGTCCTGGAATTCAATATGTGCCTGTAGAACATGTGCAACAGAAACGAAAATCTGTTGAGATGGGATCTTCTCATTTTAAGGCTGCTAAAAGTAAATCCGCAAAACAAGTTGGAGGGGATGAAAAGTTGCCTAAACAAATGAATAAACTATGCAGTTCAGCTGACAATATGAGTCGAGCCACATCTAGTTTGACTCTTGACATGGACTCATTTTTCATTCAACAAGCAGTCAAAGAACTTGATGAGTTATCAGAGGAAGTTCCAAAAGCTAGTGAATTATACTTTTTTGCCCTGGAGCTAATAATGAATAAAGAGAAACGAGCTGTTTTCTTATCAATTTCTCCTGATATTAGAGTCTGGTGGCTTAAAAGGAAAATGGAGGAGAGTTCAAAATTTTCTAGTCATCTTGGTACTTGAGATATACAACTCCAAATTTCTCTTGGACATTGATAAGTGTCAGTTTTATTTAATATTTTGTTTAACTTGAACATTAGGAAGTGAAACCTATGTTTAATCTTTGGTTTGTCTTGGACACTAATATGTGCAACCTATGTTTATTATTTATTTTGTCTTGAACGCTGATATCAGTGCTTTCTATGTTTAATATTTTGTTTTACTTTGAAACTTTGAAGTTCAAATTTTTTTATTTATTTACGTTAGATTATATAGCTATGTGTATGAAAACACTGGTTTTTACTGAAAATTGTGTATGAATTGGCTTCTTATTACAGGTTCTTGGACAAGGCAGCAATCATGACGGATCCTGAAGCTAGCACTAACAACCGATGGAGACTTTGCACAGTGACTCAAGTAGAAGAATTCAAGTCCTATATTAGAACCCTCCCTATATGGTAATTTAGGATTGCTCTTTCCATCTCATACTCTCAACCTTCTTCGTCAGCCAAGCCAACATCATGAAGTCTTGGTCCACACTTAACCATTCCAGTATGTTCAACCACTATTTTTCAGCACCCTCAGCACTGTCCTACACGACCCCATCTACAAAGATTGGATAGGCCCAATCTTATGTGAACACACCGGTCATCCATCTTGGCCACTTTAGTTGAGAAGAAACGTCGAGACCACCCTAACCCCTTATCTTTCTTGATATTTTGGCTGCTCCCGCGGCTCTTCTTAATTGGCAGTGCTGAAGTTTGGGACAATTGGAGTTCTTCTACGACGAAGTGACTGATGGGATGAGAAGTATAAGCAGTGCATTGTTTCTTGGTGAGGTTGGGATAGGGAGTTGGTTAAGCACTGTCACTGTTAAATTCATCTAGAGTGTAACTGGCAGGGAGGGAAAAGGTGGCTAAGGCATGATCTCAACAAAAGCAGGCTCGAAAATCTCTATCGGATATTGACAGTAATCAATGCTGCTAATTCCTTTGTGTATTTGTGTGTGGCTGTACAATATAGGGAAAGAATGAGGCGGGAAGGAGGGTGGACTCCCGGTTGAGATGGATGTTGATGAAGGCAAACAAGGATCAAGGGAAGCTTAAAAGCATGGCGTCGTGAAATCTAATCATTTTACTTTTAATTCCTCTCTAGTTTTTTTTAATAATTTATTTCACTTTATTTGCAAATCAATCCACTCAATGTTTTCCCAACTTTAAAATGTTTTAGCTTTGCATTTTAACATTTGAATGAGGAGAAGCCAACTAATTATATCTTTAGCTTTTTAGACTAAAATATTTTTTTTAAATGTACAAGGACGAAATATCCATTTCATAATAAAAGGACTAAAATAAACTTTTTGTATAATATAGAAATTTATGATGGACTTAAACTGAATAAGTAAATTATTAAAAAAACATATTAAGATATTTGTTCTTTGGTCCTACACTCCCAATTAAATTCAAAATTAAACAGGATTAGAGTCCTGAACTGGAAGAAAAACTCCCCTGGAGCTGAGATATTACATGGAGAGTTGGAGTGATACCATCTTTGATTCTTTACTTTTCTTCCTCCATAAAAAATAGTCCTTTATCTCTTCCATCAGTTATTGGGTTCCACTTCCCACTGTTAGCACCAACGTAACAACGTTAAACAAAAAGTCTCCATTTACACTGGTGAAAAAAGGGTCCCTCAAATGGGGCACCCACCCAAATCCCCATTTACACCAAATTAAAGCTCAAGTTGATCAATAGTCATGTTTAACCGTGCCATCTTTATCTAGAAGATGGTCATCGAATCTTTTCATGGTCAAGATCCTGATCGTCTTAGTTGCCTGGGTCTAACTGCACAGTTGAAAGGTCTAAATTGTGTAGAAACATGTTATATGTTTCCTTTTCCCAGATACGTAATGGAACTTCATATGCAAGAAACACAAATGCAAATTCAGGTAATACAAATACCGCATTGTGCTTCGAAATTTTATTATGATTAAGAGATGCATAATAATGTGAACATCAAAGTCAAATGTTTCCTTCTTCCTAAAGCTGGTTCTATCTATAAGGGTTGTTTCAGACATGTTCCCCATTAAATGAAGTAAATGCCATGAGACAAAGAAATTTAGGTTACGCTACAGCTATATCTGACCTATTCATCTGCAGTGTCCTCTGCATATTTTTTATACTCCGGCTTAAGCTCGTAAGTTCCTTGATTGGCACCTCTCTTATTGTACACGCAGAGCTCGTTCAATATTTCTTTCAGGAATTGCTGCAAAGAAAGTAAATCAAAATCTTTCACAGATAAAACAAATGCTAACTGCTAAAAAACCACAAAAACGACAATCTAAATTCTATTAAGCTGAAAAATATAGCTGATTTGATGCCGCGAAGGGATTTTCCTTTTTCACTTAACAAGCAAATTGAATTTCTACCATATGGGTAGAATCACATATTACAGCAAAGAAATACTCAAATCACTGTTATAAACCATAAGACATATCCAGTGGTATAGTGAAAGAAATGTAAGAGGTTTACAGCAGGTTGATCAGTCTCTTGCACAAGTTGCTTTAAAGTCCAGTTCGGTTGTCTCTCCAACAGCTTGAACATTATATCTTCCAGTTCCCCGCGATCCCTTCGGGTTCTCTTCACCTCTGATTGTTTAACTGGCATCGGTTTCTTCTTATCCTGCTCAGAGCAATGGACAATAGGAGACGTGAATCTATAATTCCAACTCCAAACTAGTGTATGTTTAAGAGCAAAAAAATGGTAAATATCACTCTCTAGAGACCATGTATAAAAGTACCTTGGGGTTGGATGAAATCAGGCCAATCATTCCAGGCATTGGCCTCATGTGCACTCCACGATCATTATCAATAACCTTCAAAATTCATTAAAAAAAACATAAGATGATTGGCATCATCGTAACATTGAAAGGGGAAAATGTGTCTTCCCCCTAAGCAATGCACACTCATTGACCTGCCTGTATTTGCCTGTTCTTGATCATAGACTTATTTGTCCTTTCTCGACACAATCTCCCGTATTCCTCTATGTTTTCCGCATGCGGTTTCATGTCGAATTTATGCTCAACCTTTCCTTCCATTGCAAGCGCACCTATAACAAAAACAGAGTTCAAGTCACAACATAAAGCATAGAACTGAAGTGAAACATCAAGAGTGTTCATAATACAACTACACGACTAATAAACACACAAATAACGGTATTCATGTTGTACGTAAAACACTGAAACATGACACAGATACACATGGTAGGTCAGAAAAAAGGAACAAACTCTAAAGTACTAAATCTAAATAAAAAATAATTGAACAATATAAAAAACATAAACTTGAATGATTGAGAAGCAAAGAACCATAACTCTGACCTTGACTTGTTTCAGAGAAGACAGACATAGGAACAAAGTCTTTGAACATGTTCAAAGTGTAGCTTTTCGGTATGCTTTCTGTCTCAGACCCAACCATCTCCATAGTAAACTGGAAAATGTCAATTCACAAAAACTCGTAAGAAACGAGACGAGGACAGAATCATTACTTCAATGTTTTCATCATAACAAGCGTGTTGTTAAAAGTTTCAAAGTTTGGCAACCAACTTTGGAAAATGTTTCTTTGAAAAATGTTTTTCAAAGTTTGGTAAAATTTTGGTAGATGTTTGTTGAAAATAGGAATGGGTAAATTCACTTTAGTCATTGCACTTTAGGGTATTTTCAAAGATTAGTCCCTAAGTTTCTACTATAAATACCCTTACCCATTTAGCTTCAAAATCATCCCAAAACATTTCTTTCTTCCTATACTAGAGAGCTTTCTTGTGAGTAGTGAGTGTTTTGTAAACACCTGTAAATTTTTCTCTCTTAGTAAAAGATCTGCAGCAGCCCGGAGACGTAAGCACAATTGGCTGAACTCCGTTATCAATTTTCGGGTATTATTTTTTCGCTTTTATTTCGCATTCTCACTAATCTGGTTATAGGGAAATTACTTGTACTCGGTTTATTTTCCTAACAACTGGTAATCAGAGCTTTTGGTTGTGAATTTTGTCAAATTTTCTGTGAGGTTACTATTCATTACTATTCACGTGAATAGTGAAATTCGGTCGGCGATACGAGTTTGTCGACGGTGGTGTTCTAATACACGGTGATTCACAAGAATTGTCAGAAACGATCCAAACGAAGCCAGATTCGAGTGGGAGCGATGGCTGCAGACGAAGGGAAGGTGAAATTTGAAAAGTTCGATGATGCGGACTTTGGCTTTTGGAAGATGCAGATTGAAGATTTTTTGTACCAGAAAAATCTATATCAACCTCTCTCAGGAAAGCAACCAGAGGGCATGAAGGATGAAGATTGGGCTCTTCTCGACAGACAAGCCCTCGGAGTTATCCGACTGACGTTATCCCGCAATGTTTCTTTTAACATAGCAAAGGAAAAGACCACGGCGGGTCTTATGGCGGCTCTCTCCAGTATGTACGAGAAGCCATCGGCCTCAAACAAAGTTCATTTGATGAGGCGATTATTCAATTTGCGGATGGCGGAAGGGGCATCGGTGGCACAACACCTAAATAAACTCAACACAATCACAACCCAGTTGAGTTCAGTGGAAATTGAGTTCGATGATGAAGTTCGAGCTTTAATTCTCTTATCATCTCTACCAGACAGTTGGAATGCTACTGTTACAGCAGTCAGCAGTTCGTCGGGAAACAGCAAATTAAAATTCGACGATGTTCGGGATCTGGTATTGAGTGAAGAAATTCGACGAAGAGAATCGGGTGAATCATCAACCTCCTCAGCCTTGCACACGGAGTCTAGAGGGAGAACTTCAGAAAGAAATTCAAATCGTGACAGATCAAAATCCAGAAGGGGCAAATCAAGAACAGGAAATAAAGATTTTACCTGTTATAATTGCGGCAAGAAGGGTCACTTCAAAAGAGATTGTCGAGCACCGAAGAAAAATACCGGCGCACAGGAATCTGCTAACATGACGGAGGAGACATGTGATGCCATGATTTTAAGCGTCAACAGTCCGATTGAATCATGGATCTTGGATTCAGGGGCATCTTTCCACTCCACCCCATGCCGAGAAATCATGGAGAACTATGTCAGTGGTGATTTTGGGAAGGTTCATCTAGCTGATGATGAAACCTTGAAGATCGTCGGAA